CCTACCTCGCCCAATTCCCCTACACCTTAGCCCTTTTCTTATTTCACAGCATCCGTTCTATAATTTGGATCTTGTTTACACTTTCAGTTTCTCTAGAATTTAATTTTTTATGAATTGGGCCCAGTACTATTTTAGAAAGATTATTGCTTCTTCTTGTTGTGTATTTCATTTTATTTTATTTCCCTTCTTTAAAATGTTGTGCATTATGGAAGAAAAAAATTGGAAAATAGGATTCTGGGATGATGAGTACAGCCCAAATAAACTGTTCAGAGCTCAGAATATAAGACTTCCAGGGAGAAAGTGATATTTTAGAAATAAAATCCAAAGAAATAGTGGGACAGATGAAAAACAAAAACTAGAAAACATCGGAGCCATATAAATCAACTGTCGTCATTGCTAATAAATGAGTTCTATATGTAAGGTAACTGAAAGGAAAAAATGCAAAAAAAAAAAAGAGAATGAAAGACTGAAAATAACCAAGATTTTGGAATGCAAATAAGCATGTGATGCATGATGAAAAGAATTGTAGAAGTGAATCAGAAGTAAAAGAGTAGGAAAATATATTGCAAATACTTTGAGGGTCAAAAAATTTAGTGAGTTGGGAGGGAACAATTCTTTCTGCTTTTCCTGAGAATAAGAAATAAATGTGGTAGGAAGAAGAATTACCTAGAAACATGCTAAAAAAAGAGGTGTGCTAACGACAATAACAATGAATGGATTAGAGATAGCATAGCATCAATCACTGCCTTCAGTTTTATAGACATGAACCACTCAATTCTGAAATAGTATGGAACTGTATGACTTCTAGCAGCTATGTTAATTAGAATGCTGCACGAAAGACATTATTTGTTTATATTCAATGTAAGAAATAAGCCTTTATTTTTCTTTTCAAGAGGGTTAAGGACAGCCCTGTGTGTGTGTGTGTGTGTGTGTGTGTGTGTGTGTGGTAATTCCAGTTCTGCCAGAGTCAGTGCACCAGCTGTGACTTACCCCAGTGGTGCCAAGAGGGCTGCAGCAGCACCCGGAATCAAGTCTTCACACAGCCATATCCTAAGGCAGGAGATGTAAATATTTTCTTTCTTATGCTGTTCTAAGAACAATATTTCTTAGAATTCCAAACAGATTTTCCTTATATGCTAGTTTTCAATCAGATGCACGCTGTAAGTGAACCTGCATCAAAAATGAGATAGAAATTCACTAGTAGCTAAGACGAACTCTAATTCATTGCTTGAACTTTGGTTAGATAAGGGGAAGGGAAGGGAAGTGGCAGTGGTTCTGGGAAGACAACAATTTACCTCTCAGTACTAATCACTGATTAAAAGTTTTTTTTTTATTTACCAGGCACACTGTACATGCTTTGTTCTTCCAAGCTTATAAACTCTATTTAACATAGTAAATAATCTGCAAAATGAAATAATTTATCTGAGATAACAGCAAAATGTCACTGGATTAGAATGTACAAGGTGTGAATGAAAATTACAGAGACTATTTAAATTATTAAAAACTTCATTCCAGTAAAAGACTCATTGTTATTAACCCCTCAAAACAGTCGACCTCACTAGGGCGGGGATTTAGCTCAGTGGTTCCACCATTTGCCTTGCAAGTGCAAAGACCTGAGTTTGATTACCGGTACCAAAAATACAAAACAAAGCAAAACAAAAAATTCACTCTCCCTTCAAGCACACTTATCTCCTTAGTCCTTACCACTCTGAAGCAATTCTGAAATTCGCTTCCATAAGTGTCTTTTTTTTTTTTACACTCTGTAGCTGCCTTGATGTACTGAATCAACTCAAAACACTTACCTTTCATGGTCATCTTGACTTTGTGGAAGTCAGTGTGAGATGCAATGAAAAAATAGATGAGTCCATAATGTTGTATGAGCGGGGTTTCTGCTGGATGGTAATCTGCAGCAACGTTCACTGTAGTTTTGGTTCTACTTTGTAGAGACAAGCACAAAAGGGGCTTCCAGAACTGCAGAGAAAGTGTCAAAAACAATGAATGCACAGAAAGTGTCAAAAACAATGAGTTAAGTGTGTGCAAGCTGGGGAACAGTATTCTGAGAGGACCAAATGAATGCATCTGCTACTGTAATGTTGAGATCGCATATCGTTAAGTCTATCCCTCAAGTCCGTGAATATAATGGAAAAAAATAAGATGTAAAACTAGCCTCATCATAACATATGAATTATAGCTTGTATAAAGTGCTATTTATAATAAATTAAGCATTTGAAGCTTTACTAGAAAGAATAAAATTATTGGCTACAATGTAGAGAAGAAAGTTTAAACCAACCTATAGCTGGGCCGGGGATTTAGCTCAGTGCTTCTACTGGCTGCCTTGCAAGGGCAAGAGCCCGAGTTCGATCCCTGGTACAACCCCACCCCCCCACCAAAAAAAAAATCAATCTATATCTGCCTACAGACCCTGACGTAAAGTTGGGATACATGTGTGTGCTTATATATCTGTTTATGAAGATTTATAAAGTCTGATCTTACCTAAATAAAGGAAAAAACAGAAGAGTGCTAACATTTTTTTAAAAACAAAAATTGAGATGAGTAAAGAGTTGAGAAGGATATCAAAGACAAATAACATGTTTAAAGTTAACCACAGAGCAAAAACAGAGGGTTGAAAGACTACCTAGTGGCATAGGGCAGACAATGCAAAGAACTAGTTAAGAATCCTGTTTTCAGTTTCCTGCAATCCATTAAATGTAAACTAGGGCAGATATAAAGACTCAGAATCATAATCTTGTGCTTTAGAGAAGGAAGCAGAAAAATATTCCTAATATGTATCATATCCTCCTAATTACTTCAATCCAGTCAACAATGACTTAAGATTGAGAGTTATTCTATTTATATTTCTTCAAATGACAGGTATTACTTTCTTTTTCTGTTTTTCGTTCATTGGTACTTTTTCTTTTCAGCTTTAATTGAGCTTATTGGTACATTTTAGGGATACACTACAGTTACATTCATTGTTGGGATCTTCTACCTCTACATGACAAGTCTTGATTCTCATTTTTTCCCCTTGTCCCTGCCCTCCCTTCACCCCCTCCTCCCCTCCCCATCTATAAACACTTTATTTCCATCTTTTCATTATCTCACATTTTTTCTTTTCCCTTATTACCCTTCCCATACCCATCTCACCTTCCCTACACCTTTAGCTCCTTTCTTCCCATTTCTGAATGTCAGTACTCTTATTAGGATCTTATGTATTATTGCAGATTATTCACACTATTGGTACTTTTAAAGTATACAGTACAGTTGCATTCATCATTGGAATCTTCTACCTTTACATGACAGGTCTTGGTTCTCATTTTTTTCCCATACCCCTGTCTTCCCTTCACTCCCTCCCCCCTCCCCTATTTAAAAAGACTTTGTTTCCCTTTTTTCCTTTTCTCATAATTTTTCTTCTCCCTTATTTTCTTTCTCCTACCCCTCCCACTTCCCCTACACCTTTAGCCCTTCGGACAAGTATTCAGTTCACAAAGAAAATGTTCTTTCATATCGATACCTGTGGAGAGGCAGGTCGTGATTAGTAAGTATTATTCCCTGAGAAGCTAAGAGAGGCTGACGTCCAGCAGGAGGAGGAGATAGTGACTTGCAGAAGAGTAAAGATT